AGGTGAAATACCTATCCACAGCCATTACATATACATATTTGCACAGTCTGGCCTTAAAGCTGCAATAAAAAAAACTTTCAGCTTGTTCAGCCAGTTCCTTTAACAGGAAGCTGAACTCACCCACCCCAGTTCTGCACCAAATGGCACCTGCTTGAAAATATCTGTGCACTGAATATTGAAAATCATGGTCAGTTTTAAGTACTGGATGATATACATTTTAGAAGTATTTGAATCATACACAATATTATATCACTTTTCAAATGTGACATCATTGCACACTAACACTTTTCTTGCAAATACCCTAACAGGTTTCTTGGTAACATATTCTGTGATTGTTGTGAAAATAAAGAACATAAGAAAAAATAATGCATAAAAAATAATGTCTGGGATTAGACATTGTTCATGTATATATGGGTTGACGAAAGATGACGACTGGAGTAGTCCTTTGTTCTATAGGTAGGCTTATTTTACCCTCTTCTTATTTCAGTAGTCTTGGGAGTGAACACATGATCTCACAGTTACCTTGCAGTGTGACATCACTTTTCAGCTGTGACATCATCTCACAGTAACATGAAAAGGTGACATCACTTTTCAGCTGTGACATCATCTCACAGTAACATGAAAAGGTGACATCACTTTTCGACTGTGACATCTTCTCACAGTAACATGAAAAGGTGACATCACTTTTCGACTGTGACATCTTCTCACAGTAACATGAAAAGGTGACATCACTTTTCGACTGTGACATCTTCTCACAGTAACATGAAAAGGTGACATCACTTTTCAACTGTGACATCTTCTCACAGTAACATGAAAAGGTGACATCACTTTTCAGCTGTGACATCATCTCACAGTAAAATGAAAAGGTGACATCACTTTTCGACTGTGACATCTTCTCACAGTAACATGAAAAGGTGACATCACTTTTCAACTGTGACATCTTCTCACAGTAACATGAAAAGGTGACATCACTTTTCAGCTGTGACATCATCTCACAGTAACATGAAAAGGTGACATCACTTTTCGACTGTGACATCTTCTCACAGTAACATGAAAAGGTGACATCACTTTCCAACTGTGACATCTTCTCACAGTAACATGAAAAGGTGACATCACTTTTCAGCTGTGACATCATCTCACAGTAACATGAAAAGGTGACATCACTTTTCGACTGTGACATCTTCTCACAGTAACATGAAAAGGTGACATCACTTTTCAGCTGTGACATCTTCTCACAGTAACATGAAAAGGTGACATCACTTTTCAACTGTGACATCACTTTTCGACTGTGACATCATCTCACAGTAACATGAAAAGGTGACATCTCTTTTCAACTCTGACATCATCTCACAGTAACATGGAAAATGTGACATCAGTTTACGACCCAGGTTCGAATGGGTACAATGTGTGAAGCCCATTTCTGGTGTCCCCCGTCGTGCTTTTGCTGGAATATTGCTAAAAGCGGCTTAAAAAAGTACACTCACTCACTCACTCACTCACTCACTCACTCACTCACTCACTCACTCACTCACAGTAACATTACCATGTGACATCACTTTTTGACTGTGACATCATCTCACAGTAACAGATATTGTCTGCAAACGACAAATCTGTTTGATGGGGTTGTTAGCGTTTACACGTTTAAAAGACAAGGTCCACATGTGGATTAGCTCCTTATCAATCATGTTACTCATAAGTGGTAGTTGTACTTTGTGGCTTGTATACACGCAGCATTAATCATATCTGAAGAGCGACATGAAAATACCATCTTGTCATCAGGTATTTAAGTATCTTCTTACTTTCTACTTATCAAAGAAATCGTAGTGGGTCACCAGGTGAGGTGAGGGCCTTACACGGCACTGTCTGAACCCCCACACTCTAAGGTAGCCATCAAGCCTCCGTTACACAAATGGCTTGAATGTGGACTGGAATGTGTGAAAAAACAGGGGCCTGGGTGGCGTTGTACAGAGCGATCGTAGGGCTAAGGTGATCGTAACTCCCATACTTTAACATAGACTTACGACAGTCGTAGCGCTAAGGTTGTTTTGTACAACGGCACCCTGATCCACAGGTGTCATCCCGATTGTTTCAGAACAAGGAAATAGTGGTTGACTGATCAGCGCTGTATGTTCAAGCACATTCGATGGAGGTCAACAATCTCAAAACAGAGCAGTTCACTATTTTTCCTCGAGGGGTATGAAGATAAAAAAAGTGTTTGGATGTCAGCACTGTTTTATTCATGTCAAGTCAGTAGCTTAAACGCAGAGATTTCATGATTACAGCATGAAGTGATAAAACCCCTGGCAATGTATCACCTTGTAGCTGGTTCACATCTGTGCAGGTTAGAAGAGGTCTTCAGCAGCCCATACTTATCATAAGAGGCAAGTAACAGGATGAGGAGGTCAGGCTTGCTGACTTGGTTGATGCATGTCATAGATCCCAATTGCGTGGTTTGATATCAATCACTGCATTGTCTGGTCCAGACTCAAATATTTACAGATCGCCGTCACATAGATGGAATATTGCTGAGTGCGGCGTTAAACAACAATCTATGTCACATCTGTGCCTGATAACTTGAGCCATCTGCACTTCGCTGTTTGACTGTTCTATCTTTACCTTGGTTATCAAGCCATAAATGTTGTGATGGCACGATGTCAGGGAGTTCATTTTGTGGTGCCACCCTTTAGTTCCTTTGCAATGTCATATCTCTCCAGTAGAGATTTTCATCCTTCTTGTTAAAGGTGTATTTAAAACCTCAACAAACAACCTGGAACAACCTGGATGAAATGGTGTTTGTTTAGTCAAATGAAACTGTTGGTTGTTCCTGAAACTCAAAATATTGTGGAACATTTTGGGAAACTGGAATGTAAGTTCTGGATGGAATGAGAAAGCTGCTTTCTGATTGGCTAATGACGAGTTCTTAGTGGTCATTTCATATGTCAAAGTCCAAGAAAGGTCGTTCTGACATTACCTGTAATAGGTGTTCTCTGGTCTTTGTTTAGAGGTTGCAAGAACTAAGTTCTTGCATTAATGAAATCGCCTGTCCAGCTGCACTGATACCACAGATTGGGAAAGCATTTTCTGACCGATCAGATCATTCTGGGTATTCCACAGATCAGGGAGCTTGGTGCTAAGGTGATTGTTACTTCAACATAGGCTTACGACCATCGTTACACCAAGATCGGTTTGTGGAACAGGGCCCTGGTCACTGTACAATGTTCACTCAATTAAAGTTGGTTTTGCAAGACGTGGTTAATCAATATGTGTTGCTGGTGTGTGCTGGAAGGGAATTCCACTGTGATGTGTGTTGGTCATCTGATTGCATTAGGTCTACCAGTCTTTTAGTACCGGTATTGCTTGATGACTATCTTTTGTAACAATCTGTCATATAGATGTTTTCCAGTGCAAAAGGAAATATGCTTTTAGCAATATTGCTGTAATATCTCAGTGGGGGACACCAGAAATGGGCTCACACATTGTACCCATGTAGGGAAACAAACCCGGGTCTTTGGCATGACGAGCGAATACTTTAACCACTAGGCTGCCCCGCCGTCCCCACACACATGGTCAGAGAGCTTCATGGTGCACTGCACTAAGATGATGACCTTCCAGACAAACGATATTCTAGGGGTATACGACAACCTGGAATAATTGAGCTGTTGACAATACAGGTCTAAAAGTTTGCCTAAATGAACACAGTTGTCAAAAGATTAACTTTTTGATATTAGGATAAGTAAATAAGAGGGAGGGTGCAGGAAAACTGCATGCTACAAACCAGAGCCTCTTCTGTGGTAAAAAGTAACTAAAGTGAGTAAGTTGGTATGTAAGTTTGGTATATTGTGAGTATTACATTTGTATCCAGGCATGTAGGCTTAATGTGGGAGGATACCTGAAGAGATGCAGGTCTCAGACGTTTACCACTTTGATGAAAGCAGCGAGCAGCGGTAAGGTGCTTAAAAACCTAGACACATAATCAGGGTGACCCGTGATTCGAACTCACAATCTGAGGTTTCTGGCGTTCCCAGTGGCATAACTCTGCACAGTGAATTGCGACGACTGGGCCACCCGTGGCCCCAGAAACTGAAGTGATGCCAGTCGTGCTTATTAATTATCTAAATCATGTGACCTGAGGTTCCAGCTAAAGAAGTTTTCCAAATCCTCACTTTTATACTATGCCAGTCGTTAAATGGTGGGGAAGACCAAGAATGGGCTCCTCACCCATGCCAATGTGGGGAATCAAACTCATGTATTATCATGACAACTTTCCCTGCATTTATGTGTAATGCTCCAGGAGTCAAATGGTCAGAAAGGGTCAGAACAGGGTCCCAGCATCAGATGCTTGTTATTTAGAACCACCAACACGGGCCTTGGGGTGATGAGGCGATGGATGATGGTCTGTCATCGTACCCTAGTGGCCTGGATCGTTGTTCATGCTTCTTGGTTTGCCTGGTTCAGACTTAAGGAAGAGAATTTATGGATGTCAACTTCTTTATTATGAGGAGACACATGGTGTTTCCTCATAATAATGAAGTTGACATCAATATATTCACTTCCTTATGTGTATCACTTCTAAATGCCATTCAAAGACTAGTTTCAGATTTGACTGTTGTCTGTATGTTGCAATATGTTCTACACCCCTGGTTAATGGTATGGTAGAGTACTAAGTTGCAATATGTTCTACACCCCTTATTAATGGTATAATAGAGTACTATGTTGCAATATGCTCTACACCCCTCATTATTGATTAATGGTATGATAGAGTACTAAGTTGCAATATGTTCTACACCCCACATTAATGGTATGATGGAGTACAAGGTTGCAATATGTTCTACAAATCTTGTTACTGGTATGATAAGTTGCAATATGTTCTACACCCCTCATTAATGGTATGATAGAGTACTATGTTGCAGTATGTCCTACTCGTTACTGGTATCATACAATACTAAGTTGTAATATGTTCTACCGCCCTCATTAATGGTATAATCATTTGTTCCTTCCAGGAAGTTCTCCAGGCCAATGGTGCTGACCTCTACACAGTCGCTATCCGACCTCATGGGATATTCGGACCCCGTGATCTTCAACTTGTGCCTACAACAGTTGACATGGCGAGGAGGGGAAAGTCAAAGTTCATCATCGGGTAGGTTTCTCAACAAGTTGACATACTAGTCATATATGTTTAAGGCTGTTTTAAATGTACTAAAATTTGCACTAAAATAGTGGAAATGCTGAAAAACAAAAATGCTTGCATACAATTCGGGAAACAATTGTCAGCCAAAAATTGACAAGTTAATTCAACTTTTGTATCAACATGGTTAGATTAGCAGACTTGACGTTTTCCTTTAAATCACCATTCATTTCTCAACACACTAGACAACAACAACAACAAACATACAGATTGAAGACAAGATTTAGATTTTTGTGTTTTAGTACAAAGTGGTGAAAATGATTTCTGACTACACATATGTAAGATGGTATTGATTTAAGTTGGAGCAATGCTCCATGGAGTGTGCCAGTTTTCAGGTTGGGACACTGTAATTTGTTCTTTGTGTTAAAAAAACACCTCCATGGTCTAGTGGGTAGAGCGTCTGTGCAGAGAGTAGAAGGTACTTTTTGTTACCCTGCCTCACAGGCCCTTATCATTAAGAGGCTTAAACATGGACTGGTTGGCACTGAGACATTGTCATATTCAGTGTAATAAGCGTAATAATCAACTTCTAGATCAAAATAAAAAATATTTGAGAGGCAGAAAAACAAAGTTTGAGAATTTGGATAAAAATTGCTGGGACTGCCTGCAACTTGAACCAGGGCACTGTTCGACTGAGAGTCCTCAACAACCCATGCTTGACATAAAAGGCAACTTGCAGGATCAGGGGGTCAGACTCGCTGACTTGGTTGATGCATGTCATCGTATCCCAATTGCCTAGATTGATGCTGATGATGTCATTAAATTGTCTGATCCAGACTTGATTGTTTTCAGACCGCCATTAAACAACAAACAAACAAACTTTGGCTAGGAAAATGAGCTAAGTCTTTTACACATATAAACATGTGCCGAAAAGTTTTTGGTATGTTTTTGTTTTATTGCAGGGATGGCAAGAATGTTGTTGACTTCACCTACGTAGGAAACGTGGTTCATGGCCACATTCTGGCAGCGGAGAGTCTGAAGGAAGGGTCCGCAGTGTGTGGGAAGGTACTCAGTCATTCCTTTGTTTAAACTGGCGGCACGTGGTCCTGTGCACAGCGCACAGGTTACAAATCAGGTGAAGTTAAGCAACGCCAGTCGAGGAGAGTCCTTGGATGGGTGACCATGTTCAGCAGCATGACTCCTGAGAGTTTCTTGGTGCTTTGGTCCTTCCTTACACTGAAGAACATGTAACACGTGTGGCGTCTCCTCAGGCATGTGTCTTTGTTCAAATATGGGCCTCTGTTCACCCAGCAGTGAGTGGGTACACGGTAGGATGAGAGGGCAATGTGGTTGTTAACCTTCTAGCGCCTAACAGGCAGCATCGGTTGTATACTCCCCAGGGAGCTGAGAATGATTCATAGGTGCACATTGATTCATTTACCGGGGTAATAATAGTGCTTTGAGCATGCCCCTGAGTGGTGTGGAAATATGCTCAATATAAATAGCCTATTGTTGTTGTTGTTGTTGATATTATATTATATATTTTAATGAAGTAAAACTGAACAATAGCTCATTTTGCAAAATTGTAGACAAATTATATTTCAACCATAACATGGATTAATTCAGAGAAACCACTCAAATCTCTTGATTCAAGAACTAGAATAAACGAGCCCCGAATATTCAAGTGATTTCTCCATTACAGATTACCACAATAATCCAGATATTGCTTTTAAGTGTAGATTAAGCAGGATTAAGCGTAATATGCATTCTTAAAACACCAGACCCTTTTTCCTCCTTGGAGTGCTGGACTTTTATCAACATTTAAACATTTAGTCATGTTCATAGATTAATATCTTCAAAAGTTATATACCCCGGTATGTAAAAAAAGGCAGACTTATGTTCTTAGATTAAGGAAAACCATATCGCCTAAATTGCAGTCTTCTAGTGTGCTGGCGGAAACACATTATGAGGGCTGTCTATTGTGGCCTGATAGGGAAATCAAACCAGCAAAAAACATAATGAAAATTCAATGCGTTTAATCCTTGATTGGTTGCTCTCTCAAAAGAACATGGCAGTGTTTTGAAAACTATATTTTCAGTAAGTTTAAACCCCCCAAACATTGTCTGGAAGAGGTTTCCGTACTGACTGAGTCTTTGAATGGCATTTAGACGTGCATCTTCCAAAGGCAAAGGTATTAACTGACTACAAAAGTCCAGTTTCCACCCTTGCCGAAAAATATTGGAATTTCGGGCTCGATCGTAGCACCACCAGGGGCCATTGCGAGTTATGTCCCTTCTATGTCCCTCCTATTGTCCAATCAGATTCCCCCTTTCACATCACTTGCATTTGCTTTAAACGACACAGTGGCGCACAGTCAAGACGATCTGCTTGATAATCAAGATCTATATTGTAATACAACAGGTCTTACCTCGCAAAGTTCATCAAATCATTTGAGCAACTTTATTAAAAGCATGAAAAGATTTGGAAAATATCTGTCGGGGCCCAGTCGACGGTACATATGCTTTGCAAATCCAGCAGTCGATCGAAATCGGCACGTTGACATCCATGTTGTTTACAAATCTGATGTCTAGTTCATTGCCCGATTTTGTATGTATAGACTCGTTAGTCCAGCCGAAATGTAACTCCAGAATTTCAGCCTAGTTCGGCTAGGGTGGAAACTAGACTTTTACAGTCAGTTAACTCCCTTGCCATGGGAAGATGTTAGAAGTGATACACATTAGTTAAAGAATGTATGGGCGTCAACTTGTTTATTTTTGAAGCACAATGTGTGGGAGTATATGCTTACTCCTTCATCAGGTGATGATACAGTCTCTCTCTAACTGGGCCCAGATAGACCCTATTTCTCTGTATAACTAGGTATGGCTGTACTTCATATACAGTAAGATCTTTCTTTGTTTTTTCAGGCGTACCATATAACAAATGATGAGCCTATCTTCTTCTGGACCTTCTTGACGAGGATTCTGACGGGACTGGGTTACGATGCTCCGAAGTACAACATCCCCTTCATGCTTGTGTACCTCATCGCTTTGGTGCTCCAGTTCTTCTGCCAACTCCTCAAGCCTGTCCTGGAGATCAAGCCCACCTTCACTCCGATGAGAGTGTCACTGGCAGGAACACATCATTTCTACAGCTGTGATCGGGCCAAAACGGACATGGCGTACAAGCCAGTTGTCTCCCTTGATGAAGGGATCAAACTCACAGTTGATGGTTATCCTCATTTGAGAAAAAATGCTGGGAAGTCATGATAGTTTGTTAAATATATTTTACTTTTTTTTGTGGATTTATTTATCAACATGGCAAGAAACGGGAGGTAAAATAACAAATAGACAAAATGTCAGGGTTGATTAAGAGATTAGAAAATAAATATTTCCATAAAAAACATAAATAAATAAAACAATTTGTTTTGAAAAGTCTAATTACAATCAAACAGTGGATTATTAATTAAATAATTACATGCAAAAATTGTGGGTGAAATGAAAATACATAAATTGTTCTGTCTTGAAATTTGAAATACATTTTTTTCTATTAGACTAAGTATGGTTAGAAGGTGCAATGTCACCTTTCAGTTGTCTCCCCTGACTGAGAACACATGACAGATTGAAATGTAATTATTTCATAATTAAGTTCAACTGATTAAAACAACACAATTTTGAATCTTACATCAAATACATGTGACTATATAAATGTTGTGACAAATGAGAATAGAAAGAATTTAATTTTTAGCTCACCAGACTGAAAAATTCACATGCTTACTCCCACCAATGATGAACCTGAATTTGTTCAAAAGTTTCAAATCCAAATATCAATATGGCCTCCACAGCAGCCATATTGAAATTTTTCCTTATAGGACTATCTCAGTGATATTTGTTCAAAATGTAATAAACCTTGGTACACATGTAGTCACTAGTGAGCTCACATTTCACTTCCACCATACTGAAAGCTGGGCATTCTTTTGTTTTTCTTCTTCTATGGTCCCACCTAAAATGACACTTGAATCTGTTGAAGAGGTTGAAATCCAATTTTGATATGGCCACCATATGACTGGTACATGTTAAGTTAGTAGTGGGGAAGATATATGTTCAGTTTTTTGCAATACAAATAGTTTAATTCGGCCCCAAACATCAGTAAACATTCCATAATATTTAACTAATGTTATGGTTTTGTAGAGTGTATTTCACTGATAACAGGACCAGTACTGGTATATACTTATGTACTTAGTATTATGTCATTCATTGAATGCAATCTTAAAACTCTGGCTTTTTTCAATAATACCAATTTTTAACAAAATAATTATTTTTTCTCCCCCTTAGTTTGAAGTCCTGTATAAATTCCTGCGGTATGAACAGGAGTTTGTCTATTGGTCTGTCCATAGATAGGAAAACATTTGTGTTGATAAGATTTGAATTTATTAATATGGAATATGACTTTATTAAGGTTATATTGTTGATATTATACAAAACATGAATTTTATAGGAGATTTGTATGTATACCTCAATTTATGTTTCAAATATACATGTGTATGTAATAAAGAAGTGTTTGTTCATATCTCAGTGTTCATATTCAGGCCGATGTAAAAAGGGAGGTAACTCTTGTCAGTATATTAGGGCTGGCTAAAAAATATTGATAATCGGAATTATGGTCAATGGGAAGAAATATTAATGATTATCAATATGAAATTTGTGTCATTGATAATATCTTATACAAACTATTCTGATGACATAAAGTTTTAATTTACTGAAGCAGACTTGTTTTTGACGATTGCCGAAGACGGCAAGCAACTGATTTTGTTATATCTTAAATGTCCACAAAGTAATCCATACAAAAATATGTCACTACTCACCAGTGACGTATAATATGTTGTTTTGTCTCTAAGCTTTTTTCATATTTGCTCAAAGTTACTTATCAGATATTTATCGATAATTGATCGTTACTTAGTTAATGATTATCGATCTCTAAAATTTATATTGATAGCCAGCCCTACAGTATATTACAACGTTAGGCCTCTTTTCCATACAAGTCAAGCAAAGACAGATTCCACTTCATCCCACATGAAGACACTGAACCCATCAAGCTGTTCAATCTTGACATTAGTCCTGACAATGATGGCACCAACATATATTCATTGTGTTAGACACTCATCAAGCAAATTGTGATTTGTCATTTAGTCATTTGAAGTTATTTGTTTTGTATTCTGAGGTTGTAGCATATATATGTTTATTACCACTAGTTTGACTTGTAAAACAAACTAATAATATTTCCTTATCAGATGGTGTGTTTTCACATTGACAAAGTCCTCATAAATGGCATTAACAATGTTGTCTGACTCACCTTGAAGAAATTCATCCAAATCACCTAAAACAAACTTAAGTGATGATGTTTAATACAACAGTGAGTGAGTACGGTTTTACTCCGCTTTGAGCAATATTCCAGCAATACCTGGGTGGGGAACACATGTACCCATGTTGGGAATCTAACCCAGGCCTTTAGCATAATGAGCAAACGCTTTAACCACTAGGCTACCCCACCGCTCTTTTACAACAAACAATTGAAAACATTATGTTGTAGTAGAATGTAAAAGTATATTTATAATGTTATACACATTCCTTGTTAGAGGAAGTTATTTGTGAAAATGTACAGATGAAATATCATATTCGGTGTATTAAGCGCCCTGCTTCCTGTTTCAATAAGCACCCCTTGAACAACTTTTAGACCAATCTGTAAGTTCATAAATGCCCCCAGCTAAGACTGAAGACAGATAGCATTACCTACACTTACAGTAGAGGGCACGGGTTGCCCAGCTGTCAAAGGTGCCGCGATTCTCAGTGCAGAGTTGCATCCCTTGGGCATGACAGAAACCTATGGTCTTGTTTCGAATCCTTGTTCGCCCAGATTGTTTCTGGGTCTGCTCGTGGGTTTCACCAAAGTGGTAAACGTCTAAGACCTGCATCATTTCAGGCTTTCTTTCCACAGTAAGCTGACATACCACGATATAACTGGAATATTGTTCAGAGCCTACTCACGTTCAGTGTCTGTATAATGTAGCCATTGTCTCTGTGTATGTTAGTAACCTTCTTTAACTATCAATGATTATGTGACATTTTGTGGACATATTTTGATTTTAATGATTCATCTTAGCTGAAATCAGCATACTCGAGTCTTTCACAATGAAACATACCGTATTCGACTTAATAAGCGCCCAGGGTGCTCTCAAAATTAGAATATTATTTTGGTGGAAAAAAAAGTGAGTTGAAAGATAAATCTTGTGGTTTATGCTAACAGCCTGAAATGTTTATGTACGACAGATATATTTTTCCAGAATTTAATTGCCCATAATTAAGGGTGCATATAACGCACGAGTGCGTATTATGTGCGAATAAATAAGTCTTGTGTACATTAATCAATCGGAAGGAGTGCTAATTGGGATTGTTCACTAGCCAATATATTAGCAAATATCGCCGTGGGCGCTTATTAGAGCGGGGCGCTTATTATGTCGAATACGTTATTTAATATTTAAGCTATTGACAAAAGTCATGACAAAGTAATTACCTGTCTGTTAGAATCACTCACTCTTTACAAGAATAACAAAATGTAACTATTATAAACATCTATTCTCTGATGCTGATTTGATGTGATGAGTATCCTATGTGTTTGGATTTAACCAAGGCAGAAAAACTGATGTGTTCCAGTGTATGGGTGCATGTACATGTGAGTGAGAAGACATAAAACTATATTCTCTAATTGTAGTTATGTTTGATTTTTCCTCAAGGAATCCTTATTAGATGCATTTGGTTTCTATAGGTGACCACCATCATTGACCAAAATGATGTCCAAATCAATTTCCTATTGACTTGTACCAAACTTTCACTTTACATGGGCACCAGTTGTGCTCCCCCCCCCCCCCCATACAAACATTTTTTTATGAACATGAATCTGAATTTCTGCTTCCACTCACTTATCACCCTGAACTAGAAATAAGATTGGTTGGTTTGTAGGTTAAGGCGGCACTCACCAATATTCCAGCTATATGACGGCGGTCTGTAAATAATTGAGTCTGGACCAGACAATCCAGTGATTATTATCATGAGCATCGATCCACGCAATTGGGATCGATGACATGCATCAACCAAGTCAGCGAGCCTGACCACCCGATCCCGTCAGTCGCCTCTTACGACAAGCATAGGTACAGGAACCAGTGAAAAGGTCCGTTTAATATAACAGAGCTAGATGAGTGACAACAAATATCCACAAGCCTATGACAAGCAGGATGACTTCAACTTTCCAACTGTCAATTCCCTTTATGTCTCACAATACTCCAGCAGCTTTAGCTTTCCATAATCATAAGAAATTAGCTGATAGCAGAATCCATTTCAGGATAAAGACTATATCATGAGCAAGTGTTTCATCGCTATCAAATGGTGATGATACCAGGTGTTCGTAAAAAGGGGAAGCCTATCCTGCCTCACTGGTATCACTCATAACAAACACATGTGTACATGCAAGGGTAAGTCAGTTGTTCACCTGAACAAACACGGGGACATATGGCACAAGTCAAAACAGGGAATTGCATCATCGTTTTGGTCACTGATGCATCACATTTGTAAACGTCCTACACTTGTCTACCATAAAACTGTTTGAAAACTTACTAAGACGTTGAACATTGTAATACTGTTCAACGTTTGAGCTAAAGTCGTTTCAAGCTCTTTGAAATCCTGGCAGAAAGAGCATGCTCGATTGAACATCGAGAGTTGTGAAATGTAGATACGGAAGTCTAGAGCTGTTCAACCTGTCCTCTGCATTTAGGAAACTAAAACAACATGCCTTTGGTTTTCCATTTGTAAACAGAAATTATCAGTGCAAGAGAAGAACTATTATAGATTTTCCACCCAAACAGATTCCATTAGGCCTGAAGGGAAAAATGGCTCAATGTTTCATTTTCTGTCATGTAAACTTTTGGAGGCATTTTCTTTGTACCTGATCAATGCACCATGTGGCTGTGGCGTTTATTGGCACATGTTAGTTATCAGGATGTGTCACCGAGGACAGCATGCTGTACATGTGCAAGGTGCAAACTGAGCGAGTTTGCGTTCCGCGTTCAGTAACTGTATCTTGTGCATCAAAGATGGTCATTTCTATCTGATAGCTTAAATGACAGGGGTTCCCTTGAATATGTTCCTCGTATAGTTATATTACGAAACGCAACTGCAGAAATAGAGATTAAAAGATTGATCGGTCGGTCCACACGCTGCATTTTACGAGAAGATGTTAAGAGATGGTACTTCTTATTAACACACACACACACACACACACACACACACACACACACACACTTGAATGCAACGTTAACCCTATTTTTACGTGTCATTGTTTTTGTTTGTTTTTTTATCCAAAGTCCAGTGTTCTTATACACACGAGCAACGAATATGTTTCACTCTGTAAATATGCTATTTTTAAGTATATCTGTATTTTATTATATCAATACAGAGAAATCAAAATGATTAAGTTTGATATTTATATTGTGTTATGTGGCAAGATATATTGCTATTCTATTTCTGATGATTGTAAGTGGCAGCAAATTGATTGAGGCGCTCGTACAATATCTAGATGTGATAGTGACCTTGATCTTGTGTAATCTTGTGTAGAGGCCAAACTCTGTTCCAACGCTTGACACCTTCGTACCCTCACGGTACAGAGAGCTCCGCTGTGGGAAGCCGATTTACAGACTTGATTATAGCTGTAACCATGCCGGGACCCGTGACGATCCGGGGTAGAATAGGTCTTCAGCAACCCATGCTTGCCATAAAACGCGACTATGCTTGTCGTAAGTGGCGACTAACGGGATCGGGTGGTCAGGCTCGCTGACTTGGTTGATGCTTGTCATCGTGTACCATTTGTGTGGATTGATGCTCATGATGTCAATTACTGGCTTGTCTTGCCCAGACTCGATTACTTTTCAGACAGCCGTCAAATAGCTGTTCGAGACGCTTCAGGGTAGCAGTTTCTGTCTGGCTATACTTGTAAACCTTTTACCACCTGACTTGCGACTTATCTACTTACCCAGTTCGGGCGGAATACCTATTAGAAAACACCGACGTCTCTGCCTGCTTCCAATACTATTTCCTGGATTCAGGAACGGAGAACGTACCTCATTCAAGGCATTCAACTGTGACAAAATACTACACGTACTGAGGTAATAGGGCCTGTTACTTATTGCCTCTCACATATTTGACCATATGTATTCACTGTTATGATTGTAAACCTTATAATGTGTGCTTAAACATAATGTGTTGGTTGTTCTTTGATCTTGTGCTGTTAATTACTGTTTTCACAATTCAGTTCTGTTCGTACCGATATCTCAGTTAACCTTCGCGTTTCACCTTGGGAATCAATGTATCAGTTGCCTGATATACAAAGTGTTTCAGCCTTCGTGAAACATGTATATAGTTATGAACCATGTTATACAACCGCAAATGAAACAACCCATGAAGATCCGGGGTAGAATAGGTCTTCAGCAACCGTTGCTTGCCGCAAAAAGCGACTCTGCTTGTCGTAAGAGGGGACTAACGGGATCGGGTGGTCAGGCTCTCTGACCTGGTCGATGCATGTCATCGTATCCCAATTGCGTAGATCTATGCTCGTGATGTCAGTGACTGGATTGTCTGGTCCAGACTCGATTATTTACAGACCGGCCTTATATAACTGGAATATTACTGAGTGTGGCGTAAAACAACAAACAAAACACTAATGAAGCCAAACATACCTTCTGTTTTTTAACATCAAACTTTTAGTTTCTCTCGACGTTTGCCACCAAGTATTTTCTTTCACCGTCTTTGTTACGTTCTCTTCAAGTTTGATATCAAAATGTCCGTAAGTTTCCATAGTTTCTAAGACAGTATATCTGGCTTTAAGGTTTATATATATTGCTGTAGTGCTCAAGGTCGACCAAGGTTTTCAGCACTATGTTGCAAAATCCCATACATATAATTAATTTTACATATAATCATGATCATTTTCATGATTCAATTCATCAATATGGTTAAATCCGTTTCATATAATGCACTGTCATCTATACTGAGGATATATATTAATATATATTGGATAGAGTATATTGTTCCCACTATAGTTGCATCTATTATCAAATTATTTATCATTTATTCATTATTTGTAGTTTAAAAGAATCAGTACATAATGTAGCTACACCTTTAGAATGACACGTGTACGGTGCTATTACAATAATCATGACATCTCTACTAAACTCTGTTCACTGTATTATTCCGACCATATCATAAGCATACGTTCATCAATCGCTGTCAAGTAGTGATGATACCAGGTGGGCATTCGTTTTGCATTATATTTTCTCATTATGGTGGCTTAACTTTGGTTTACCATAATCAGATTTATGTTTATTAATTGCACACTAGTTTCATATATCAACCGGTTATCTCGGAACACCTGGAGTCGTCATTGATTTTAAGTGATCCATTTAATAATTGTCACCTCTATTTTGCCTTTTACGCCCAGTGGAATCTGTTTCGGCAGATAATCGAGACTGATTATTCTCTGACGTTGAGGTTAATAGTGACAGTTTTTACATGGTGTAAATGCTCTAGTCCCAATATGGCAGAAATACTGCCGATAAGACTTCACTTCCGACCATCGAGGCATAACCCATTCAGTCTAACAACAATGGATGCTTAAATAAATGTCTTGAAAGTCTCTAGACATGACATACCAGCAGTTGCAAAAGTGAATGTTGAAATTTGTTGATTTTTACCGACTTCATGATTCTTCATTTCTTGCTATCTTGTAAAATATCCATTCACTACGCTTAACACGACCACGTTTTTCGTATTTTCAGATGCAAATAATTTATTTAATGTTTCACACTTTGTTTAAGACAAGGTGGCGACCATGTGGTTTTACTGAGGCAAAGGTCAGACATGGCTAATTTAGTTACAGTAATTGTTCTGGATGTAATCCTGGAGATGCTCAATCCGGGTTACGGAGTTCGTCATCTCGAGTGGCCCATTGTTGTATCGCCACGTTGTCATCTCAACAGTTCTCGGATGATGTACAGCAAAATACAGCATCTGTAGCAAGGGAAAGAAGAAACTCCGAAAAAAACATCAACTCATCACAAAATAAAGTTCATGTCGGCGCCGTTCCAGTCATGATGGCCTGTAAATATGGCCGCCAGTGCATGTGGTTGACCGCAAGAGCAACGATCCATCAACCCAGTACACATTGTAACCAGGTGATCCCCATTAGAGACCGACCATTTGGTATACTGGGGGATATTTGTTTTCAGCTACAAAACCATATATTTTTATCTCAAAATATGAGCCTGGTTTTTAAAAATGAAGAAACACCTTGCAACAGAATATCAATGGTCGGTCCTTCAGTCGGATCTTGAGAGAAGCATGGAGCACAACTAGATACTGATCGAGTCTGTCCCGGACTCCTCATAGTCAGCATACTACACAGCCGCACTAGGTGGCACACTTAGATCTCCATTTTCTCTACGTTACAGGAAAAAAACTCTCTCTTTTTGTATTAGTTTGTTTTCCTCACAATTGTACATATGTTGCATGCATATTAAGTATGAATATTTTTTTTTATTTCAGTCTCGATTTCCACAACTAGAATTTTAAAATTGTTCAATAAGCGACGATCACTACATGTGCAGAACAATACAGAGTGTCATCTTGTATTGTTAGTAGTGTAACATTGTCTCACTTACGTCACCAACTATTGAAGTTTTTTCTTTGAGATATTGACAGGACAATGAATAGCATACTGACTAATCTAAACAAGATTAATAACCGCCATGTATTCAGTGTGAAACATGTTTATTCCAGATATCCTTGGATTTGTTGGTTGTTTAACGCCGCACTCACCAATATTCCAGCTATATGACGGCGGTCTGTAAATAATCGAGGATGGACCAGGCAATCCAGTGATTGATATCATGAGCAATGGTCCACGGAATTGGGATCGATGACATGCGTCAGCGAACCTGACCACCCGATCCCGTTAATCGCCTCTTACGACAAGCAACGGTTGCTGAAGACCTATTCTACAGATATCCTTGGATGTTTGTGTGCGTCCAGGATACGGTTCTAACAAACCATTTACTATGTGTCTTTAAGGTCAGTAAATAAAGTTAAGAATAAACAGATGATGATTACGATTGCATACCTGGATTGGGAATTCACCCAACACGTTGTAGTTCAAATAGTGTACACCAGTAACTCGACGTCTTAAAGTGTGCACCATGAGATTGCGGAGTTCCTCTCCGTACGAGGAACCGGTTTGCCCTGAAGCGAAGACGTTACTGGATGAACATATTGGCATTTTGATATTTCAAACATGATCAAATTTGCACCAAACCATTTTCCAGTGTATAGAGCTTATTCACCCATAGGGCTTTATGTGACGACTACCGTCACTGGCCTGACCAACATACCTCCCATTGTGAGTCGGAGATGCACGAGGTAAATGAACTCCCCGTGAATGTTCGCAGGCTCTGGGGCCCGTTCAAGAAGGTCTTTGTTGATCTTCAGATCGGCTGCCAGATTCATCTCTCCATATACCGACTTCACATTGATCTTGAGATTGGCTGCCAGCAGGGCTTCTTCCAATGGTCTCCAGTCGCACAGAGCTTGAAACTTGAGAACTGAAGAAAATAACATCACGTAGTCACCTACCAATTAACAGCCTCGGCGTTTAAGGAGCTGCAAGATTGGGTTGTTTTGCGATAAACGTTCTGTTAATCAGCTAGGCCCGTCTACATCGAATTCAACACTTATCTACACGAGTGAGCGACTGAGAGTGAATTTAATAAATATGTCGGTTTATTTAATAAATATGTCGGTTTTTGCAGTATTCAAACCAAACCACAAGGGACAGCAAGAATATGATTTACGAATTAGCAACTCGGCTAACCCTTTGCCCCTGGAATGGAATCAGACATTGTATTGGTCTACACTACTTTCACACACGTTTGAGTTTATGAACTGATTCAGATTCATGTGCGCATTTGACACCACTGATTCTTTCGACACTTGATCGTCCACGGACTTGTTACACAGGTCTGTGGTTCGTCTAATCATTGGTAACTTAATTGTTGACGGACACTCAAAGGTGTTTGAATATATTTAAAGTGATGCAATCAGGTTGGGGAACAAATACTAAGTGGGCCAAATTTTTTAAACAACGAATATAACACAATGATAACCCGACAAGAGAGAGAAATCATTAAACACTTCTGTCAGAAGGTGATTATACTTACTGGCTACAACCCGTGGTTCGCCAACGACCTGAAAATTGGGAAAAAAATGATTGCAGGTAATTTGGTCGGAATTTATATCATCTTCTTAGGCATTTCCCCAAATTGTATAACAAATGTACTTTACCAGAGATAATAGTCACAATGCAAATATCCTCTTCTATCAGACTCTGATATAAGATGGGAAATCAAAATTTTACATGTATCACGATTTGTCGTTTTACAGTAAACCAGAGTGAGTGAGTATGGTTTTACGCCGCTTGTAGCAAGATTCCAGCAATATCACGACGGGGGACACCAGAAATTGGCTTCACACATTGTACCCATGTCGGGAATCGAACCCGGGTCTTCGGCGTGACGAGCGAACGTTCTACCCACTAGGCTACCCGACCGCCCCACAGTTAACCAGAGATGGTCTACACAATAAGTATATGCTCTGCGTGTTTATGGTTAATGATTGGAAAAATGAATTGTTTGTGCCATACAAGATCCATTCATGCAGGTGGTACGGGTGGCCCAGTCGTCTAAGGCGCCGCGATTCGCTGAGCAGAGTTGCGTCCCTTGGGCACGCCAGAAACCTATGATTATGGGTTCGAATCCCGGTTCGCCCCGATTATGTTTCTAGGTTTGTCAGCACCATACCCGTGCTCGAGGGTTTCACCGAAGTGGTAAACGTCTGAGACCTGCATCACTTCGGGCTTTCCTCCCACATTAAGCTGACACGCCGCTATATAACTGGAATACTGTTAAAAGCGGCGTTAAACCCAACTCACCCACTCACCCACCATTCATACAGAAATCGGTAAACCTAATCGTATGGAATGGTTCGGCAACTGCGGAGGCACATATATTGTAGAGAATATCGTGTAACATCCTGGCGAACTATCCTCCACCGTGACACTAAATGGGACCTGGGACCTACCTTGAAGGCTTGTTCAACTGTGACACCCTGGACACCATACAAGGTGTTATTAAGCGTCGTCATGGTGGACCTGATGTCAGCTGGAGGGGCCACAATGTCGACAAAGAAGAGTTGTTTAGAAACTCCCCTCTTGTCGCATGAACCACAGTGGTACATGGTGGCACCCAACACAAGAAACCAACACAACTTCATGGCTGCGTCTCTGAGATGTGGCATGCAGTGTAGCCTCGGAAAGACGACTCCGTCGACTGCTGTGGCAATAAGTAGAAACTATAATACTATATATTAATATATTAATATATTTATTAATATATTTATTAATATATATACTCACACGCAAAAGAAACGCAAGTCGAGTATGCAGTATACATGTTATTTATTTTCAACAGTAAAGACAAGATATACTAATAGGGCAAGATTGACAAAAATTTGACTGAAGACAGTTTAATGGATTAAAAGGCAGATGACAAAATTGTTTTTTTCAAATGTTAAGGGCTTACACAGTTTCGGGTCAATACCCAAAATGTCAGTCAATACCAGGTGTGTTGATCGGACGATTTGTGAAGGTCCTAGGGATCCTCCTGCACACATCCAGAGCAGCTGTGCGTAGTTCATCGGCAGTTGTAGGGACTGGGCGCACATTGTGCAGACGCCTTTGAACCTCATCCCACAAGTGTTCGATGGGGTTCAGATCAGGGCTGAGGGCTGGCCACGGTAGAACACGGATGTTGTGTTGTTGCAGAAAGGCCATGGTAGCTCTGGCAACATGGGGACGAGCGTTGTCCTGCTGGAAAATGTGTTGTTGATGTTGTGCAAAAAATGGAACAACGTGGGGTCTGATCACTTGGTCGATATACCGCTGAGCAGTAACGCCGTGTCCCCGACCTTGACCAACATTCAGAAAGCACATGGGTCCAAGTCTCGCATTAAGTCCAATCCCTGCCCATATCATGACGCTAGGTCCACCCCATGGATCCCTTTCCACAACGTTTCTGTCAGCGAAACGATCACCTCGACGTCGCCAAATTCTGACTCTTCCGTCAGAAGATGACACGCCTCCACTCACGATGACGCCAATTGTGATGACCCTGTGCCCACTGAAGTCGTGCTTGTCGATGCCGTGGTTGGAGAACAGGACGACGAGCTGGTCGGTGACATCTGAGGTTGTTGGAACGGAGACGTCGGATCACAGTGTCCCGGCAAATGTGTTCCTATGGTCTGTCGAGCACTTTCACTTGCAGTTAGGAACGGATGTCGCTGGCGTTGACGGGTAATCTGCCGATCTTGTCGAGGTGTGGTGACCCTAGGACGACCGCTCCGAGGAAGGTCATCTGTGGTCTGTATAGCATTGTATCGATGCAGGAGATGGTAAATTGTGGTTATGTTAACGTTGAAATGACGGGCAACATCTTGGACAGATTCTCCAGCTTCCAAACGTCCGATAGCCGGGTTTCTCTGAATTTGAGTTAGACGTGGCATTGTTGACCAAGGAGTGGTTGGTCCAAGAATCGGCCACAGTTTTATACCCACTACAGTTCGTGACAGTTCGTGCATTTTCGATTTCGCGAGAAATACCCACATATTCATTGAAATGGTGCGTTTTGGCGATTCGTTTTTTATGTTGCGTTTTTACTCGGGGCTTCCAAAATGCAACCAAAAATATTGATAACACCATCAGGCTCCACTACATGCTAAAACTCGTATCAATTTATGGTTCCGTGTTTGTTACCTATTTGCGTAAAACCACTTGCGTTTCTTTTGCGTGTGAGTATATTTATATTTATATATATATATGTGTATGTATGTATGTATATATATATATATATATATATATATATATATATATATATATATATAGTGTGTGTGTGTGTGGGGGGGGGGGGGGGGGGGGGGGGTGTAAACGGAAGGGTCCATGTGAATTCGTATAGGTAACAATTTTAGATTATTTTGTAAATTATGCAAGAAATAGGCATCCCGATTGAACACCAGTTGTGTTCGCCTCGTTGGTGGTTTGTTTCTTGATGTTTGGGGCGGTCGGGTAGCCTAGTGGTTAAAGCGTTCGCTCGTCACGTCGAAGACCCGGGTTCGATTCCTGACATGGGTACAATGTGTGAAGCCCATTTCTGGTGTCCCCCGCCGTGATATTGCTGGAATCTTGCTAAAAGCGGCGTAAAACCATACTCACTCACTCACTCACATGAATCGGAATATGGTCAAATAGGCAATTCCCTTCCATTTTGCTGCAAACAGTGTGTACGAAAGTACATTCCCACTGCAGACATCATGGGGTGTTTCTTCCACTACACCCAGGATATAGGAAGACTCGAGACCTTGGCTTAGCTGTCCAGTACAAGGAAGATCCCCAGGTGCAGAGCTGGGTACGGGGAGCAGCTGGACTTCTCCTTCTTCCTCTTCCTGAGGTGCAAGAAGCCTTGTTGGAGGCGATGGATGCGACACCTGAGGTGGGAAGGTCCCAAGATTTCAACGATTACATGGTGACGATCGACATTGGTTGACGACGAGGCCCGTTTCCGACCCCCCCTATGGAATCATCACCACGCAGTAGGACCGAGGACAAACAACAACCTGGAGGGTTTTCATCCCTGTGTCAACTGCAGTCTTCCACATCAGCACCCCAGCCTGTACAGATCTGTGGACCTGCTTCAAGGCATTGAGAAGTCGGAAGGTGCGAGGCTGACGCAGACAGACTTGAGTGCTGCTCCCCCAACCAGGATGAAAGTCTACAAGAGTCAGGCGGAAGGCTGGTGCGTCTCAAAGAGAAGCTGGTCAGTGGGCAGAAGACACCTCTTGAATTCTTGGATGATGTTGGTCATTTGCTGAAGCTGGGCTGAAAACAGACATTGTATAGAACTGTGATCAGTGTGTATTGTGTCTATAGTGTCTTTTGCAATAATGAAATGAAATACGTCCTGTAAATAATTCACACTATTCAATTTCTGGTAAAATACTTCCAAATGTGTGATATCACACACATGTTCAGTGTATAATTTGTATATAGTGTATTTCTAATAATGTGGCAATATTATATCATGTGAAATGATAACATTTCTGATGTACAAGTGCTTAAAGTAAAATATTTTCTACATTAAAGTTGAATAAATATATCCTGTAAATGATTCAGAATATGTGATTTCTTGTGAATACTTCAAAATGTGCGATTTCTGAATCGAACCCGGGCCTTCAGCGTGACGAGCGAACGCTTTGACAACTAGACTACCCCCGACCACCCCTCAGTCAGCACAAAGTACACCAACTTAAGACTTAACAAAGTCTGTACAGTATATTCATTTAAAAAAATATATATTTATCTATTATTATTTTTACAAATAATATAAAAAGTGGTTATCAAAAAAAATTTATTCCTTCAACCCACCCCAACCTCGCTGTGTCATCTTCTTCACCTTCTCTTTATCAATCTGTCGCTGCTCCAACCCAAAACAGCCGTTACAAAGTTGGAATAGTGCGTAGTGCGGCGTAAAACAACAAACAAACAAACAAACAAACAAAACCACCCCCATGGTAAATTGCCAGTCACTTCTGTCATTATTCTGCTGGCGGTCTCTTGGATATTTCCATGCCTGGGGGTTGTGTTATACTCCTCAAATATGAAACGCATAACCAGATGTTCGGCGTATAAAGTAACACTAATAAACATAATACTGAATATCTGCCACTTGAAGACGCGATTAACGGGATCGGATGGTCAGGCTCGCTGACTTGGTTCGATGCATGTCTTTGTATCCCAGTTGCCAAGGTCGATGCTCGTAATGTCAATCACTGGATTGTCTGGTCCAGACTCGATTATTTACAAACCGCTGGACCGGAATATTGCTGAGTGCGGCGTTAAACATCAAACAAACAAATATCAAATACAGTTGAAATATGAACGATTGCGGATGAGAAATGGTGGCCATTTGGAAATTTCAAGATTGCCTCCATACAAATTCGTCGAAAAGCCGGCAACATCAGTTTTACTTAATCAGTGATGTTTTGTGATGGTTTCATACCATGTTGCCACGGTTCTACCCTAAATATTCCTAACCTTTGAGTTACTACATTTATGCATAAACTATATACTCAGTAATGAGTCCATGACATAAGTTCGAGCTTAAAGGCTTTTTCGCAAGATTTGTTTGTTTGATTGATTGTTGTTTAACGCCGAGATCAGCAATATTCCAGCTATATGAGAGCGGTCTGTAGATAATCGAGTCTGGATCAGACAATCCAGTGATTGATATCATGAGCATCGATCCACGCAAATGAGATACGATGACATATATCAACCAAGTCAGTGAGCCTGACCACCCGATCTCGTTTGTCGCCTCTCTATACAAGCACCGTCGCCTTTTACGGTAAGCATGGGTTGCTGAAGACCTATTCTACCCCGGATCTTCACGGGTTATTTTCGCAAGAAGATATGCTCCTTGGGATATTGCAAGGAGTTTGTTAGACACGGTTAAGAAAAATTACGTAAGATTTTTCGTGCTGTATTTATATCAAAGCAGGGTGTGTTCTCAGAGAACATATTTGACTTCTTTTTTTTCTTCTTTTTTTAACGCCGCACTCAGCAATATTCCAGCTATATGACGATGGTCTGTAGATAATCGAGTCTGGACCAGACAATCCAATGATTGATATCATGAGCATCGACCCACGCAATTGAGATACGATGACATATATCAACCAAGTCAGCGAGCCTGACCACCCGATCTCGTTTGTCGCCTCTTACAGCAAGCATATAATCGCCTTTCACGGCAAGCATGGGTTGCTGAAGACCTATTCTACCCCGGATCTTCACGGGTCAGAACATATTTGAAATTAATTTTTTCACATGCAAAACCAGAAAGTAAAGATTGTATTGAAAGTTTGCAAAGTAAAGTGACTACAATGAAAGAGACTATTGTGCTCAGAGTGAAATAATGCATCTGGAGACTTAATATCAGGACTCTAAATTATTAATGTGACGAAGGAAGATTTTATGACTGCTTCAAAGACCTACATGCACATTGTTCATGGACTGTGTGGTGGGTGATATGGGTGGTGTCTCTGACAGAATATTGGTCAGACGGAAAAGCCGGCTCGGCTTGTGTCGGGCAAGACGGGAGCATCAATCGGACCAAGTCGGGTTCGCCGGCTCGGTTTGTGTCGGGCCAGACGGGAGCGCCGGCTAGGCTTGGGTCAGGCCAGACGGGAGCGTCGGTCGGACCAAGTCGGGTTCGCCGGGTCGACTTTGGTCGGGCCAGACAGGAGCGCCGGCTAGGCATGGGATAAGGCCAGAAGGGAGCGCCGGTCAGACAAAGTCGGGAGCGCCGGCTCGGCTTCGGTCGGACCAGAAGGGAGCGCCGGTCAGACCAAGTCGGATTCGCCGGCTCGGCTTGGGTCGGGCCAGAAGGGAGCGTTGGGTCGGGCCAAGTCGGGTTCGCCGGCTCGGCTTGGGTCGGGCCAGACAGGAGCGCCGGCTCGGCTTGGGTCGGGCCAGAAGGGAGCGCCGGTCAGACCAAGTCGGATTCGCCGGCTCGGTTTTGGTCGGGCCAGACGGGAGCGACGGCTAGGCTTGGGATAAGGCCAGACGGGAGCGCCGGTCAGACCAAGTCGGGTTCGCCGGCTCGGCTTGGGTCGGGCCAGACGGGAGCGCCGGCTCGGCTTGGGTCGGGCCAGAAGGGAGCGCCGGTCAGACCAAGTCGGATTCGATATGGTGGGTGATTTGGGTGGTGTCTCTGACAGAATATTGGTCTCACGGAAAAGCCGGCTCGGCTTGTGTCGGACACGACACAAGACGGGAGCGTCGGTCGGACCAAGTCGGGCCAGAAGGGAGCGCCGGTCAGACCAAGTCGGATTCGCCGGCTAGGCTTGGGTCGGGCCAGACGGGAGCGCCGGCTAGGCTTGGGATAAGGCCAGACGGGGGCGTCGATCGGAGACCAAGTCGGGTTCGCCTGCTCGGCTTGGGTCGGGCCAGAAGGGAGCGCCGGTCAGACCAAGTCGGGTTCGCCGGCTCGGCTTGGGTCGGGCCAGACGGGAGCGCCGGTCAGACCAAGTCGGATTCGATATGGTGGGTGATTTGGGTGGTGTCTCTGACAGAATATTGGTCACACGGAAAAGCCGGCTCGGCTTGTGTCGGACAAGACACAAGACGGGAGCGTCGGTCGGACCAAATCGGGCCAGAAGGGAGCGCCGGTCAGACCAAGTCGGATTCGATATGGTGGGTGATTTGGGTGGTGTCTCTGACAGAAAATTGGTCACACGGAAAAGCCGGCTCGGCTTGTGTCGGACACGACACAAGACGGGAGCGTCGGTCGGACCAAGTCGGGCCAGAAGGGAGCGCCGGTCAGACCAAGTCGGATTCGCCGGCTAGGCTTGGGTCGGGCCAGACGGAAGCGCCGGCTAGGCTTGGGATAAGGCCAGACGGGGGCGTCGATCGGAGACCAAGTCGGGTTCGCCGGCTCAGCTTGGGTCGGGCCAGAAGGGAGCGTCGGTCGGACCAACTTGGTCTAGGCAAGGCTTTGGATAAGGCGGGGAGCGCCGGCTAGGCTTGGTTCGCGCCAGACGGGAGCGCCGGCTAGGCTTGGTTCACGCCAGACGGGAGCGCCGGCTAGGCTTGGGATAAGGCGGGGAGCGCCGGCTAGGCTTGGTTCGCGGGAGCGCCGGTCAGACCAAGTCGGGTTCGGGCCAGAAGGAAGCGTCGGTCGGACCAAGTCGGGTTCGCCGGCTCGGTTTGGGTCGGGGCAGACGGGAGCGCCGGCTAGGCTTGGTTCGCGCCAGACGGGAGCGTCGGTCAGACCAAGTCTGGTTCGCCGGGTCGGCTTTGGTCGGGCCAGACGGGAGCGCCGGCTTGGCATGGGATAAGGCCAGAAGGGAGCGCCGGTCAGACAAAGTCGGGAGCGCCGGCTCGGCTTGGGTCGGACCAGAAGGGAGCGCCGGTCAGACCAAGTCGGGTTCGCCGGCTCGGTTTGGGTCGGGGCAGACGGGAGCGCCGGCTAGGCTTGGTTCGCGCCAGACGGGAGCTTCGGTCAGACCAAGTCGGGTTCGCCGGGTCGGCTTTGGTCGGGCCAGACGGGAGCGCCGGCTAGGCATGGGATAAGGCCAGAAGGGAGCGCCGGTCAGACAAAGTCGGGAGCGCCGGCTCGGCTTGGGTCGGACCAGAAGGGAGCGCCGGTCAGACCAAGTCGGATTCGCCGGCTCGGTTTGGGTCGCGCCAGACGGGAGCGCCGGCTAGGCTTGGGTCAGGCCAGACGGGAGCGTCGGTCGGACCAAGTCGGGTTCGCCGGCTCGGCTTTGGTCGGGCCAGACGAGAGCGCCGGCTAGGCTTGGTTCGCGCCAGATGGGAGCTTCGGTCAGACTAAGTCGGGTTCGCCGGCTCGGCTTGGTTCAGACCAAGTCGGGTTCGCCGGCTCGGCTTGGGTCGGGCCAGACGGGAGCGTCGGTCGAACCGTCGGGTTCGCCGGCTCGGCTTGGGTCGAGCCAGAAGGGAGCGTCGGTCGGACCAAGTCGGGAGCGCCGGCTAGGCTTGGTTCAGGCCAGACGGGAGCGTCGATCGGAGACCAAGTCGGGTTCGCCGGCTAGGCTTGGGTCTGGCCAGACGGGAGCGTCGGTCGGACCAAGTCGGGTTCGCCGGCTCGGCTTTGGTCGGGCCAGACGGGAGCGCCGGCTAGGCTTGGGATAAGGCCAGAAGGGAGCGCGGGCTCGGCTTGGATCGGGCCAGAAGGGAGCGTCGATCGGAGACCAAGTCGGATTCGCCGGCTCCGCTTGCGTCTAGCCAGAAGGGAGCGTTGGGTCGGGGCAGACGGGAGCGCCGGCTAGGCTTGGGTCAGGCCAGACGGGAGCGTCGGTCAGACCAAGTCGGGTTCGCCGGCTCGGCTTGGGTCGGGCCAGACGGGAGCGCCGGTCAGACCAAGTCGGGAGCGCCGGGTTTGCTTGGGTCGGGCCAGACGGGAGCGCCGGTTAGGCCAAGTCGGGTTCGCCGGCTTAGCTTGGGTCAAACAAAACCATGCAGCTTGGAGCTTTCTAGAGTAATAATTATGCGATTGATAACAAGGATGTTTTTTTATAGGCTTAAGTGTGAAAGACCTCCCCATACACCATCATTGATTCACGAACTTCCCAGCACAGTTCATGAGAGTGTTGGTAGCACGGAATATCTCATTGCAAAAAGTGACATTTTATGGGTCATATGAGTGTTAGTAACTTGGTTGATGCATGTAATCGAATCCCAAAATTGCGTAGATCGATGCTCATGATGTCAATCACTGCATGGATTGTCGTGTCGAGATTTGATTATTTACAGGCCGCTACCATACAGCTGAAATTTTGCCGAGTGCGGCGTTAAACAGCAAATAAGCAACACACAACAATAACACAGGGACATCTTCCAACACATAATGTTTATCTCCTAAATACTTATATAGGTAACCAGTGAAGTTTCGCTTGACATTTAGGAGTTGTGAGAACATGAATAGTCTACTTCTTATCCCTTCACCAGGTGGATGTATCACATTCATAGAAGAATTAGCCCTGAAACGCCGCTACAAACAATACAGATTTTCACTTCCAACTATGAACTTTGACCCCAAAAGACATTTTCACCAAATGACTACACTGAAATCCGTAATAACATATCGCTTTGGCCAAAGAGTAGCTAATCAGGACAAAAGCTGATGTGTTATGAAATTTGAGGTAGTCTAACTGGAGATTAGATACCTCTTATTTTTATTGGCACCAAGCGCTTTACGAGGATTTCAAGTGTTATATGATCTGCTATACCGGTCCACAAAAATGCAACACTCGTCTAATGACGTCTGTTTGTTTAAACATGACATGACATGAAACTACGTTTCACTTCTGCTGTTCTGATTTTGTTTCTTTAATTGCTAATTATTGGCAATGTGGTAATATTACCAGTGGACAAAAAATAATATGACTAAACCTCGTGTCTTAGTCCGGAAATTTTCACCTGCTTTGTGGTCCGCCAAAAGTATCATTTCGTGCGAGTTATGTCCCTTGGTCGTTAAACCGGAAGTTTTCGAAATATTCAGGTGTTTCTGACAGGTATTTTATGTGTTTTGGATCATAAAACAGCCGGGTTTGGACGCACCTGCCAAAATGGGTGAGTAATAGAGAATTGGTGTGTTTATGTTAATCACAGGGTTCTAATTTTATTTGATCATAGTGTGTTTGAAGGCCATTACCTGTGTGAAAAAACATCACCTATTTGTTAATCAGAATTACAGGTGTTCTCATATTTGTCATGTTTGTGATTGAAACTGAAGTTAATCATTTATATACGAGTAAATGTTATTTCCGTGTGCAATTGAAGATCACAAGATAGGTCAAAAAGTTTTTTCATTAATTATTTGAGTTTGTTTCAACGCGGACCTATATTACAAGTATATACAAGTCCGTGGTTTCAATTGGTGCATAAATATCTTTCAAGACATTAAAAAAATCCGTACCCCAGATTGAAAGTAATTTCATAACCCTATGCAATAAGCAATGAATTACGCTATATAATATATTAATTAAGATTTAGATCTAAACAACATATAATGTATAAGGCGTAATGGCGACATTTCATTTGAACAAGAACATCATTAGCTGATTAGAGGTTTATCTGTTGACAGAAGCTAAATTTAAAAAAAAAAAAAGTTTCAATTTACAATTACTTATGGGCTCCTTGATCCCAGTAGCAGTTGGGATGGAGATTGGAGATGTCTTTTTAACAATACTACCAGTTGAAGGTACATAAACTGATAAAGTGATGATGATTTAATTTAACACTGACAGGTAGGTTTTTAACATAATGATAATGTCTTGAAAGATATTTATGCACCAATTGAAACCACGGAATTGTAAATACTTGTAACATAGGTCCGCGTTGAAACAAACAAACGTTAGGTCTGCGACTGCTTACTATCAACCCAATGTGAATGTCAGCAATTGAGTAAATATTCAGTGACGCTAATAACTAAATACTAAATACTACGTGTTAGTTTCTGAAAAATATGTACATAGGAGAAAATCGCTGTCAAAAACAGAACATTTTGCTCGATTTTTGCACATTTTTCTCCCAATTTGACCGTAAATTATTTTTCTTATGACATTCTTTTCATGTCATTCGATAACTAGTAGAATGATCAATAACTGTACTTAATTTTGTTGTATTATTTTCACAAATAACGCTTGTAGAGACATTTTTGTGCAACATGCAGAAATCCATGGTCTACTGACAGGCCGTCACGCATACGAGTGACCCCCTCTCAGGTGGTCACTTTTACGCGAGACAGGAGAGCCGTCTCGCGTACACGTTACGTCCTCTGCTGATAACCACTAATAACAATGTTGGTCCTGTGAAGGCGGCAGTGGTTACCGTCTGTATGGAACATTTGCCCCAGCATACTCAGATATTGTACCACATGCGCTATCCATTTAATGTTGGGCCAGCTGTGTCAGTGCAACAGTGGGTTAGTGAAGGAAGACAACTTGATAATCATCCCCCCATTGATATCATCTAAATATGCAAATATACATAGTCATGATACTAGATTGATATTTTATTTCAGCTTGTATTACCTGTCTTGGTCGGACCCCTTTTGGGTCCCTGCTGGCAATGATTATTGTGATTATCGGAGTCTGCGTCTTCTGCGGCACCTCCTACCAGGCCCTCAAAATCTTCATCGACGACATCCTCAATGATCTGTTCAACTTTAAAGTGGGATGGTAAGGTTTTAAGCATAGCTTTCCTTCTTCAGCAGGGCGGTCAGGTAGCCTAGTGGTTAAAGCGTCCGCTCGTCACGCCGAAGACCCGGGTTCGATTCCCGACATGGGTACAATGTGTGAAGCCCATTTCTGGTGTCCCCCGCCGTGATATTGCTGGAATATTGCTACAAGCGGCGTAAAGCCATACTCACTCACTCACTCACTCACTCCTTCTTCAGCATCACAGGGGCACGGGTGGCCCAGTCGTCTAAGGCGCCGCGATTCGCTGTGCAGAGTTGAGTCCCTTGGGCACGCCAGAATCCTATGATTGTGGGTTCGAATCCCAGTTCGCCCCGCTTATGTTTCTATATTTGTCAGCACCATGCTCATGGGCTTCACATTGTAAATCTCTGAGATCTGCATCACTTCGGGCTTTCCTCCCACATTAAGCTGACACGCCGTGATAAAACTGGAATACTGTTGAAAGCGGCGTTAAACCCAACTCACACACTCTAGGGCATCACACACACATCAGCAAAATTGAAGTATTTTATTTATTTGAAGTAGGATAAAACATTCTGGCCCACACTTACATCATGTACTCATGAAGACAGGTCATTGTTGTAAAATTGAACACTTTTTTCTTTTGTCCCTCAAATCTCACTACAGTATTTATCATCATGGCCATGATGCTATTATGTGATAATTGAAATGTATAGAATATGTAACAACCAGTATCAATTAAATTAATTAAAGTATGAAAGGCAACAGGCCTATATTACAGTCAGGTAGGTCCCTTGCTTATGCGAGGGGCGGTAGGGTAGCCTAGTGGTTAAAGCTTTCGCTAGCCACACTGAAGACCCAGGATTGTTCCCAAAATGGGTACAATGTTTGAAGCTCATTTCTGGTGTTTCCCGCCGTGATATGACTGAAATATTGCCACCATGATATGACTGGAATATTGCCACAAGTGGCGTAAAACCACACTCACCATGCTCACCCACTCTTGCTTTTGTGACATTTCGAGGGATGAAATTCCATGACTCCATGATTCAGACTTATTTTTCAAAGATTTGATTACCATTTTTGTTATCAAGGAAGTACACACTCACCCTAGGAAAGCCATAAATAGTTGGGTATATTTATGGTTACTGTTGATTTCATTTTGAAAAACAAAAAACAACAATCATGACAATAGCCGGGAATCAATAAAGTGCTTTCGGGTCGGTGACACTAGTACACAGTGCATACACAGTCATTTAATATGTGTGCGGTGACTTGGCCCAGTGCCTGAAAAACCGTGTTATGTAGTTGAAATTGAAAAGTCCACATTTTCAAGAGGCCACCCTGACTGATATAAAATGAAAAGATGTGCCACCCGTGAAGATCCGGGGTAGAATAGGTCTTCAGGAAACCCATTCTTGAGGCATATTATCGTATCCAATTGCGTGGGGTTTCACCGAAGTGGTAAACGTCTGAGACCTGCATCATCATTCACTGTGCAGAGTTGCGTCCGTTGGGCACGCCCAAAACCCATGATCGTAGGTTTAATTCCCGCTTCACCCCGATTTTGTTCCTAGGTTTGTCAGCACCATATCCGTGCTCGTGGGTTTCACCAAAAGTGGTAAACGTCTGAGACCTGCATCACTTCGGGCTTTCCTCCCACATTAAGCTGACACGCCTTGATATAACTGGAATAATGTTAAAAGCGGCGTTAAACCAAACTCACTCACTCCAATTTTGTGGATCAATGCTCATGATGTCAATCACTGGATTGTCTGGTCCAAACTCGATTATTTACAGGCTGCTGTCAGATAGCTTAAACTTAAAGATTACTGAGTGGGGCATTAAACAACAAACAAAAAGGAAATATGTGCAATTTAATGTAACACCTATATTTCATGACAGGCTGGAGGTGATCCAAGTGGTGTTTGTTGTGCTGGCTGTCAGCATGGGGATCTTCGCCATCATCTTGCTCATCTTTGGGCTGCTCGCTACCGGAGCCACCAGACAGAACGTGTACTCTGGAGCCAAGTGCATCATGGGAGGCAGAATATCTGCAGCTTTCGTATGTATAATATTCATTAACCTGGTGTTATGGATAAATTAAACACGTGGATAATTCATTATGTGAACATGTATTTGTGTGGTTTTTTTTTCGCCCAAAGACTTACTCACGAACTCACTCACTCACTCTGTTTCCAGTTCATGGTAATCTCGTACATCCTGAATTTGGCCTGGATCATCATCCTCTCCTTCTCCGTCGTCCCTATGATCATGTACGGAGCACTGGCAGCCATTTGCAATCACGAGGTCTACAGCCGTAATGCACAGACAATCAACTACTGCTTCAACCTGACTCAGTTTGGTGAGTCCATAGCGTTTTGTGACCCGTGAAGATTCCGGGGTAGAATAGGTCTTCAGCAACCCATGCTTGCCTTAAAAGGTGACTATGCTTGTCGTAAAAGGCGACTAACGGGATCGGGTGGTCAGGCTCGCTGCATTGGTTGATGCATGTCATCAATCCCAATTGCGTGGATCGATGCTCATGATATTAATCACTGGATTGTCTGGTCCAGACTCGATTATTTACAGACCGCCGTCATATAGCTGGAATATTGCTGAGTGCGGCGTTAAACAAGAAACCAACCAACCAGGTTTTGATTAGTTATGCTTGTTGATTATAATATCAGTGTGTATTTAGCATTAGATAATATACAGAGTCTGGGGTTTTCTTATTATTTGTGATTAGGTTAGGATTCACTTTGACTAAAGATGTCAAAATTTCAACTTGGTTCTCATGTTCTTTCATTGCAAAAAATGGGGTGGTAAGGTAGCCTAGTGGTAAAGTCCCTCACTCATTCCACTCCACTCCACTCCAGGGGCGGTCGGGTAGCCTAGTGGTAAAGTCCCTCACTCACTCCGCTCCACTCCGCTCCACTCCACTCCACTCCACTCCACTCCACTCCACTCCACTCCCCTCCGCTCCCCTCCGCTCCACTCCACTCCACTCCACTCCACTCCACTCCACACCAGGAGCGGTCGGGTAGCCTAGTGGTAAAAACCCTCACTCTCTCCTCTCCACTCCTCTCCACTCCTCTCCACTCCACTCCGCGCAAGGGGCGGTCGGGTAGCCTAGTGGTAAAGGCCCTCACTCACTCACTCCTCTCCACTCCACTCCAGGGGCGGTCGGGTAGCCTAGTGGTAAAGTCCCTCACTCACTCCACTCCACTCCACTCCACTCCACTCCACTCCACTCCACTCCACTCCACTCCACTCCACTCCACTCCACTCCACTCCACTCCACTCCACTCCACTCTAGGGGCAGTCGGGTAGCCTAGTGGTAAAGTCCCCAACATGGGCACCCAACTCACTCACTCACCCACCCACCCACCCATCCCTTCACACATCCACTCAGCCATCCACCAAACTAACTCACTCACTCAATAATATATCCGTAATGTGCGTCAGTTCGTTATATTTGTTGGTTGGTTTGTTGTTTAACGCCGCACTCAGCAATATTTCAGCTATATGACGGCCAGTTCGTTATAAGCGTGTTGGTTATAAGCATGTTTTACTGTACTTTTGTCTTGTTTCAGGGATCTACCGGAACAGTTCGTTCGTGTCTGGTATCACTCCCCCGGGAAAAGAAGCGGTGTGTCTGCACAATGAACTGAAGAGGATGTGTGTGAAGGTGGGCACTTGCCATGTTGACATGCTTCAGTAGACAAAGTACTCTTGATTTTAAAGAACCTGAGCAGATGAAAATATGCAGTGATTCCAAGTAGAACTTGAACCCACTACATTACACCGACCATTCATTTGATATTTGGGGATGGGTATAAAAAAAAGTTTGTTCATTCTACTACTGGCAGAAATTGACATCTGTTTTAACAATGAAAAGAAGCTGTTTGCTGGACTTGTTGGATGTTCTGCAATGAACATGATGAAAATTGACACTCCTCCTTTCAGAGAGGTGGTGAGGTGAGGTGAAATGGGGTTTAGCATTGCGCCCAAGATTATTGCACTTATATAGCGACATGCATGCAGGCTCTCAATCAGTATACTGTGTCTGAGTGGGGTATTCATGTTAAACTGCGGCATGGTATCTAATTTGGCTAGCACTATAAATCGGCATCCGTTCAGTCTGGTACAAGCAGCCACACACACACGTGCATGCACATCACTATATAAATACAGTAATCTTGGATGCGACGTTAAAGCCCATTTCACATCACCTGTCGGGGGTGTCACTCACTCACTCACTCACTCACTCACTCACTCACACACTCACTCACTCACTCACTCACTCACTCACTCACTCACTCACTCTGACCTTTATCTTTCAGGTAACAGAGTCTGGTCCTCTCTTCTGTGTGGCCTTCATCAGTGCCCTTCTAATTGTGTTGGGAATGGTGAGTTTGTTTTGAGATCTTTTGGAGAATAATGACAGTAAAGCGTACATTATATAAAAGGCACCTTGAGCATGTCAAAGTGTTTAAACTATAATTATAAAGAGTGTATTTCACTGGCAGTTCATACAAAACCAAGCAGAACATTTAGGTTAGGCACTAAATACCATCATATACTGATGAAAATATGCTGTTCAGAAGGCAGCTTTCTCGTACTTTATGGCACTAATTTCAAATTGGCGGCTATGCTTCGAAACATATTTTGACAAATTCTCGATTACAAATTTGAAACCTGAACAAAAGAACATTCGGGTATGGCTAATAGATGGTCTTGAATGCATGGATTCAGTCGTTAAACACGTAACTATCGTTCGGGGTTAAAGTTTTCGAGGTTGCATGATTAGAAATCACATTCCGACTGTCACTTTCATAATCTGGTAAGCGATGCTCTTATTGGTCGGATGAAAGGTCGTTCTGATGTGACCCCTAATAGGATGTCCTCAGATCTTTTTTATGCGGTAGGGAGAACTGAGGTCTGATTTTAATGAGATTGTGTTTCAATGTAGATTATTTCACCGTTATCAAGGTGGTTCACCTCAGCTTACTGTCTCATCAGCTTCATTAGGGCTAGATCTGTGAAGATCCAGGGTAGAACAGGTCTTCAGCAACTCATGATTGCCGTAAGAGGCGACTTTGCTTGTCCTAATAGGCGACTAACGGGATAGGTGGTCAGGCTCCCTGACTTGGTTTGATGCATGTCATTGTATCCCACTTGCGTGGATTGATGCTCATGATATCAATCACTGGATTGTGTGGTCCATACTTGATTATTTACAAACCGCCGTCATATAGCTGGAATATTGCTGAGTGTGGCGTTAAACAACGAACAAACAAAACATCATTAAGCGTTTGGTTACATATTGTTTAGAGGCTCGAAAAGACGTGAAGCTTGAAAACATGTTACGTGGGGATATTTGTGGATATAATGATTCATTGTAAGTCCTGCACCATATTTCCACTGGGTGTAGATTCACTTCATGATCTGTCTGGCGGCCAACTACACCCGCATCAGGATATCGAAGGAACTGACGGAATACAGGGATGCTGTGGAGATGGAGGAGCTGGAAATACAGAGCGTGGATCGGCTTCAGAAGGGTCCACCGCCCTACCTTGGGGACTGAACTTCCTGGAGATGTCAACTAGAAAGAGAAAAACACTGGGCATGGTTGATGAGATTCACTGTTTCTTGTTCATCTCACCTCCACCTTCTGTATCGGCTGTTGTCAGTAGTCACATGTCATTATGTTTAGGGGTGAAACGATGCATAGGTTACGATACGATACATATCACAAAATATAGGTCAAGATACGTATCGCGATACGTATATTTACGTCAAATCGCATGGAAACTTCTTGACAATAAATATTTCAGAGCAAGTTCAAAAGGAAGAGCTGGCTGTAGACACATGTTCATAGTGGCTATTTTTAGTAGTGAACTTGAAACGCTAATTACAACACATTTTGCGATATCTGACTGACAAAAATGCCAGGAGTCATAAATTAAAATCGTCACGATATGGCTGAAATATTGCCGATGTGACGTAAAGCATTAACTCACTCACTCACTCATAAATTAAAAGAGTAGTAAGTAATATTTCAGCAAGTGTATCATCTTGTATCAATACAGAAACCAAAAAGTATCGTGTATCGTACCTTTACACCAATGTATCGTTTCACCCCCAATTATGAGGGTTTGAAAAATAGTATTATTTTGATGAGTAGCTCTCATAAAGATGGCAAAATGTATTGATCTTGAAAATTGTAATGTTCTATTTGATTGAGGATTATTTTGTTTTCGAACATGTTAAACTTCTTTTTGTTGAGGTTTTTTAGGGGAAATGACTCTTAAATCAATTCAAACCACATTTCCTTGTTCCTCTTGCCTCTTGTCAAGATAATATGTAAACCAAGAAATCAATTTGGTCTTGTCTTTTTCAGCAGATGAGTTTGTTTATATTCAAGAGTATGTAACAGAACTTGTAACCATGGAAACTATATTGTTTTGCAAAGTTTGACAGCATTGATCAATGATAGTGAGTTTGTTCCTTGCCTTGGCTAAGTGCCTTAGAAATTATGTTGATCACATGAGATATATGCTTGAAATTACAGAGGGGCTGTTTCTGCGGCTTGTAATGCTCTGTACCTGAAAGAGGTCTGCCTGAAAGCCCCTTGAGCAGGTATAGACAGGGTTTATGTAATTCTCTTCTGTGTACAGGTCAGTTCTTGGATGAAGTGAGGTTGTTCATGAATTATATCTTTGTGAACCCTTGACACCGGTTTTTAAACCTCAGAAATTTACACACACAAGTATAAATTTTGAGAAAACTGTTCCACTTGTATATATTCATTTTACTTTCTCAAACACAATATTTTGGAAAATGCATTTTCATTACATTCCATTTCACCTTTTCATTCGTTGATGATTGAAAGCATTGGGTCATTTTACAACCCAATATTCACATGCCATTCCAGTTTATGAGAAATCTTTGTATAAGTACCAGTAGTTCTGTATAGCCGTGCTATGTTAACTGACACATATTGATGTACATTTTTGTTTTTGTCTTTAGTCAGTTATGTAGATAGTAGACATTGTAACACTTTATTACTGCTGGAATGTCTAAATGTCTAAGAGGTGGTCAGCATTCATCATGTCTATAATGTGAGCCTAATCCATAGCGTTGCCACTTCATACCTCAAGTTTTAAATGTTCCCACAATGAAAAAGTCCTTGCAACATTCTTTAGACTTCCCTTATCGATTCTATCTGATTCAGTTGCACACAAGACATCATTATGAGTCTGTAGTGATTTTGAGTTAGTGAGTTAGTTGGGTTATGGCTGCTTTGGACAATATTTCAGTTATATCAGTGCATGTCAGCTTGATGTTAACTGACGCAAGTCTCAGACATTTTCCACTTTGGTGAAACCCACGAGCAGAGTACGGTCCTGACAAACCTAGAAACATAATCAGGGTGGACCGGGATTGAAATCCATTATCATAGGTTCCTGTCATGCCAAAGGGACGCAACTCTGCACGGCAAATTGCAGTGCCTTAGACGACTGGGTCACCCGTTCTCCTGTAGTCACTTTGAAACCACTCCCTATCAAGTCACAGGTGTTGAGACCATGCATCAGACATGCTACTTCATTGAGGAGGACTAGGGTAGCCGAGTGGGTCAAGTGTTCCCTCATTATGCCCCAGGTTTGATTCCCCATGTGTAGGATTTCTCAGTCCATCAGGGGCAATTGGATAGCCTAGTGGTTAAAGTGTTTGCTTGTCATGCTGAAGACCCTGGTTCAATTTTCTGCATGGTACAATGTGTGAAACTCATTTCTGGTGTCTCCAGTTTATATATTACTCCATATTAGTCTCCATATTACTGGAATATTGCCTCACACTTGGTCCAGTCTGTGAAGGAATTGCTTCAATAAAACTGTACATACTGCAAGTGATGGACTGCCCTCTCCGTCTGTCACCATCACTGGCCTTCAATTAGGAGATAAACATGTAGTTTCAGATTACCGGGTTTTATTGAGTAATCAATGCCCGGGAATATATTTTCGGCATTCTGAAGGATTCAAGTATTGAAATTTCCAGGTATCTAATTAACATGGTATCTATTTCCATTCTATTATTTCACAAATTTGGGATAGAGAAAAAGATCATCATCAAGAAAGTTATTCTGCACAGTGAAATGACCAGCAGATTTCCTAGCTTTGAATCCCTTTCAATCACGTTTTTCAACCAGTCAGATTGCAGCACACACTCCTATTAATTATATAATGTCGTTAAACCATGCAGTTATTTTTTCTGTAGATTATTGAATTCATCTGAAGAGCACATTGTTTTTACAACACAAGAGAACCAAAAATATATGTGCTAATAAACACAATAAAATGGCAGCAAAGAGAGCATTAGTTTTGGGATTATTCCTTCATGGTTGTGGGTTTTTTTTGTATTGAATGACAAACTTAACATGGTTGTAAATAGACACTGAAACAACAGGTGAACCATGTCAAGTCTTCATGTGTATAACAGACATGTTTCCCTCCTGCTTGCTAAATAATATCAGTTATGGTTGAGTCGAATATACACATGATATACCCATCTTCCTGAGGCAAGAGAGTAACTATTAAAAGTCCAGTTTCCACCCTTGCCGAACTAGGCTAGTATTGGGGAATTACTTAGGCCTGGATAACGAGTCCATGCATAGTCCAATCAAGATCGCTCAACGAATTTGAAATCCTGTTCGTAAACGGTCATGCAGATTTCAGTCGATTGCAGGATTTGCAAAGCATGTGCTAAGCCAACTCGTCAACAGATATTTTCCAAATCTTTTAAGGTTTTTAATCAAGGTGCTCAAGTGATTTCAGGCACTTGGCGATGTAAAACCTGTTTTATCACAATATGGATCTTGATTATCGATCAGATTAGCTTGACTGGGTGCCGCCATTTTGTTTCAAGCAAATGCAAGTGATACGAGAGGTGGAATCTGATTGGTCCATAGGAGAGGCATAGAAGGGACATAACTGGTAATAGCCACTGGTAGCGCTACGATCGAGCGCAGGAATTCCAGCCTAGTTCGGCAAGGATGGAAACTGGACTTTTTATAGTTACTCTCTTGCCAGTTAACACCCTTGCCTCGGGAGGATGGATATACCGAGCTAGTGATGGCTTATGTTCGGAATTCACAAGGGGCGCTTTAAGTAGAGATTTCTAATGATTATGGTGAGGGTTTTGTCACTTTGTTACCTTTGACAAGTATACTTGTCAGTCTGGGGACCATGTGGCTGCAGTAGTTGCAATACATTAAACATCAGCTCCTCTACACAAATATGGTACCTCCCTGTGTGAAGATCTGACAGTGTGTGGGCGGGGTTGTGTCAGGTGAACTTCCAATCAGCCAATCAGCTTCTTAATTCCCGGAATGAGAGAAGCATTCACACAAACATATCTGTATTAAGAAATAATGCAGTGTGTTGTATTGTATTTTCTCTGAAACTATTGGGAATATTGTTTTAAGATATTTAGAAGATGTTTACAAGATTCTTCTCTTCAAAAGAGTGAGATTTTGATTTTCAAAACAATAATATGATACCTGACACATCTTTGTCCCTCTATAGCTTAAAAATATAGACTACTCAAAAGAAGTTAAAGACATGTGATTTTTTTAAGATGGCTATAGCTAAACTGTCATACCAATTTGGTCTTCTTTAACTCCTTTTGAATTAAGAAATAAACGAGGAGTGCGAGTTGTTTATCATACAAAAAAACACTGCAGGGAGAATAAACAATGAGGGACGCATCCCAGAGTGGTTTATTCTCCCTGCAGTGTTTTATTGTACGATAAATGACCACAGGTCATATATTTTGTTATATGAGATATCAACATTATGTACAGCCTCTTTAAGGATGATGATAAAATGTTCAAGCTTCAAATAGTTACCATAATTTTAATAATAATGACTCCCTGAACACAATCTGACCTCGGCAATGTCGGACAAGTCCATTCTATGAAGAGGGGTTTGGTATTTCCTGCGTATTCTCACAATCCTCCTGTCAATTATCTGTACTTTTCTCCTAATACCAATTGCCACATCTAACCCACTTTGCATTGCATTTATCTAAGTGCCCAGCTACATCTGTGGGGAACAACTCACAAGACACTTCCCTCTCAAACATAACTTTCCAATTTATGTCATCTAGTTGCAAGCGCATGTCTGAATCTCCAATAATGACGTCATGATATAACAATGTTTTATCATGAAATAAATACGCCTCGTTCTTCATTGTTCTTTGCGATTAATCACTCAGCTATCTTATTTTAGATGATAATACTAGGCTGTGAGGGTGTCTTATTAACTGGACAATGATAACCCTTGTCTCATAACATCATTGTGTGAAGGTGAACTTCTGTACATTAGAACATTTTCGTATTGTGTATAACCAACATGAATTAGGCAATTGGTGCATCATTTTGACATAGCTACTCATTATCATAAATAAATCTGTAAATAGGATGTGAGTGAAAAGCAAAAGATGACATTGTCATCTATATATCTTGCCAACATATTTTATTCTAGTTATTTGCAAATTTTGTGCATCTAGCTTGACTTTTAAGATTTAAGGGGCGGTCTGGTAGCCTAGTGGTGAAAGGGTTCACACATCACGCTAAAGACCCGAGTTCGATTCCCGACATGGGTACAATGTGTGAAGCCTATTTCTGGTTTTCCCCGCGGTGATATTGCTGGAATATTGCTAAAAGCTGCATAAACCATACCCACTCACTCACTTTAAGATTTAAATGCTGCTCAGTGAAACAGACTGATTCTGTCACATTCAATTGAAAATGAGTTTAAGTCACAACTAATAAGCATATTTGGTGAACCCCTCCTATTTCCGTGCCATTGTTCCCCTTGTTTAATTAATAGTAACTGCAAATAATATGTCATATTTTTTCAAAGAAAATTGTGAACTACAGCTCTGTACAGTCTGTATGTTCAAGGGAGATAACTCTGTGAACCCTGACGGCTGGTGTTGTCACTGACTTACAGTGATTCATTCATGTAAGTTTCACCGTAATGTCGACTTTTCCACCCGATGGAATCGGTTTCGTCGGATAATTGACACTGGTTATTCTCTGACATTGACATTTGCTATTTATCCAGTTTGAAGCTCAGCCACAGGTAACAGAAGGTGTGTGGAAAATAAATATTTCAATAATGTGGAACATATCTCAGTAGGTGTCCTCTGTGTTGTTCACACATCAAATCAGTTAATTTGAAATTACTGTTTATTCATTTGCAAAACAATTTCATGTCTAGTGAACCCGTGATATGCTGCATAAATGTTTTATATTAGCGTGGTGGTATTTGCTGCGAAACCTTTCTGCCTAGTTGCAACATGCTGTGATTGGCTGTAAATACATGATGGTGATAAATGAGGCTTGATATAGCAGCTTGAATGTGTTTTGAAATCAGAATTTTAGTTCCAAACAAATGTGGCTATCAGTATTTGAGTCCAGAATAATCTGTAGATGAAGAGTTTTCAGCACCATCCTAATCTGTCATTTATTTAGTAACGATCGTTTGAAACTCTGTGGCATGCTTTGAATTTTTTTATTTGATTTGTTTTATTCCCTAAGTTACCAGGGAACATAATTAACCTCGGTATTAAACATGTTTAAAGAAAAATTTAAAATATTTTTTCATTTGACATGCTGGATGTAATGAATAAAGGTTTTGTCTTATACAAATCCCAGTCAGCCCCAACCATCCCCTACCCCCCACCTCCAGAATATTACATGTCCAGTCATCCTATCCCAATTGCATGGATCGATGTTTATGATGATAATCACTGGATTGTCTGGTCCAGATTTGATTATTTCCAGACCACTGTCATATAGCTGCAGGGGCGGTCGGGTAGCCTTGTGGTTAAAGCTTTCGTTCGTCACGTCAAAGACCCGGGTTCGATTTCCGACATGGGTACAATGTGTGAAGCCCATTTCTGGTGTCCCCCGTCGTGATATTGCTGGAATACTGCTAAAAGCGGCGTAAAACCATACTCACTCACTCATATAGCTGCAATATTGCTGAGTGCAGCATTAAACAACAAAAGCACAAACAAACAAAACATGTGCAGTCCTATTTTCACTATTTTAATCTCACTGATGTTTCTTTGGATGAATGATTCAAACAGATGGCGATAAAATGAAATATCACCGTATTCACTGAGTCAACCCCAAACCTGAAGAAACACCAATATTCAGTTTGCTCTATCCGACATTTTCTATTAGGTATGCAAACAGTCGTGTCTGTTACCAATGCTCAGTAGTCAGTACGGAAACTGGATGAATTGGGTCGATATTTTCTATATTCAACTTCCATATATTCGGAGATGTGTGTATTTATTGTTTAAAACATTGTTCAGATCCAAGGGAGTGTTTCATACATGTGTTATGTCCCGTAACATCTTAATCGATCTTAGCATCATTCCCTGCAGGAGGTTCTTGTCATATATTTATAGCGTGATTATATTTTTTTTACAATTTACAGATTGACAGCAACATTCATTATCACTTGGATTATTCAATATATTTGTACTTATATCCATTGGTGTGGATGAAATGTAATTGACATTACTTTAGAAAAAAATCTTTTGTAAGAAAAATTAGAAATTTTAAAGTGTTACACCATGTACACAGGAATGAGAGAGCTTTGAAGTTTCATGTTTTAGGGAGCAACCATTTCATTTTCGGAGGGGTGCAGGGGTTATTTTTTCTATTAAAAAGATCAAGCCCCAGTTTTACTGATTTTATTTGACATATTCCTAGCATTGTAGATAAAAAAAATGTGGCCTTTTCTTGCAGGCAATGGTCCAAAGAAATAGTTTGTTATTGTTACTGAATTTTTAAAATATAATTTAGCTCCTAAACATGTTTAAAAAATGCTCAAACCAGAATCTTGAGCCCCCCCCCTGAAAATCAAATGGTATCTTCCTCAGATTCAGGATGATAGTCAAATGATGTCTTGACATGTTTCATTTGCCTGTCTCCAGGTTACAGCAGGTGTTATCATCTTAATGTAGTGTGCCTGGTAAGTTGCTCGGCTTGTGAATATAGCGTATCATATTTATTGCTTGCTCAATTTGTTCCTTTGATTTATGGCGACTTGATTAGATTAGTTGATTTACTGGTCCTAGTTAGAGACAGAAGGAATTTATGTGATTTATGTTCACTCCATTTTCAACAAGAATGTAAACAAATTTGTTGTCATAAATGTTTATCTTCCACCAACAGTGCCACTTTCACATGTTTTGATACTAAAGATTAAAACCACTATGACATATCCATTGATTTAAAAAAATGCTGACAGCACCGTAAAAGGTCTAATTTGTCACATATACTGCTCAT